CGTTTACCTTCACCGGGAACTTCAGCTGGTTGTACAGCTCGGAGACCAGGAGGTTGTGACTCAGGGCCTTCCGCATCTTCATGATCCTCACGATGGCGGCGTCGATCTGGTACTGGCGGTCCTGGAACACCCGCTCGGTGGTGCTCACTTGCTCCTCGGCCTGCGCGCGGGAGAGGAAAGCTGAGCGCCAGGTCGGCGGCCGGCGCGAACGTTCCACGCAAGGGCGGACTCGGAGGGCTCCTGCCTTGCCCTGCGTTTTCTTCGGAAGCGCGAGTAGCGGGAGCGCAGAGAAGCGCCCGGGGGCGGCGGCCCGGGCGCTGCCCTCCTTGCGCACTTGCGGCTGCTCTAGCCACGCCTCGCTTCTCAGAACGGCAAACCGCCAAAACCAGAACTCAAGAGCGACTTTCCTTGGAGAGCGCCATGGAAACCTCTGAAAGGAGGGCGCCGAGCAAGGGCCTCAGCACCGCAACCACCTTTCTGCACGGACAACAGCCTCCTCCAGGAAACCCACAAGCCAGCAGGGCGTGGCCTGTCGCCAGGCCAGCGTGCCACCCCCGACGGCGCCACGGTGCCCCGAGGCGGAAGGCTGCTGCTAGACTCAAGGCAGCGTTAGCGTGCAAGGGGGACCGGCAGAGGGAAGAGCCTGAGCATGACCGAGAGCAGCTCTCAGACGCCAACAGCAAACACGAGAAGCAGCCCCACCGTGGCCAGCAGCGACGCAGGGGACGGGCAGGAGCTCCCGGGCATGCCCACACGAGGTCAGAGCTGCGGGAAGACAGGCTCCGGCCTTTGCCATTTCCCCAAAGAGATCCGTGACCCCAGAGGGGCAAAGGTGCCCGGGACCGCAGAGAAAGTGAGCAGAGAAAGCTGAGATGTATTGCTGTTCCTTAAAAACATTCCTTTAGGGCCGAGGGCGGTCACACCTGTCTTCCCAGCACTTTGGGAGGCGGAGGCCAGAGGATGGTCTGAGCCCAAGGGTTTCTAGACCAGCCTGGGGACCTTGGCGAGACCTTGTCTCTACAATAAATCAAGAAATTAGCTGGGCGTGGTAGCACATGCCTGTAGTTCCAACTACTTGGAAGGCTGAAGCGGAAGGATGGCCTGAGCCCAGCAGGTCGAGGCTGCCAGGGCCATGAGTGTGCCACCGCACTCCAGGCTGGCCAACAAAGTGAGACTCCAAGAAAGAAAGAAAAAAAAAAGGAAATGCACTATCAAGTCAGGAAAAGACACGGTGCACCCCTAACTACATCTGATCAAGTGAAAGAGGCCCATCTGAAGAGGCTACATGCTGTAGGACTCCAGGTGCGTGACACTTGGGACCTGGCAAAACTACGCAGACAGTAAAAGATAAAGTAGCCAGGGGCTGGGGGAGGGGTGGGGCAGACTGACAGACTATTAGAGACCTTTCAGGGCAGTGAAGAGATTCTGTGTGACACTGTCAGAGAAGACACATGTCACTGTGCATCTGCCCTAACCACAGAACGGACGGCACCGAGTAACACCGCCTGCCGACTACGAACCGTGACAACGGGCGATGATGTGACCAGGACTGCCTGTAAGGGGAGGCTGCGTGTGGCCTGGGGGCAGACGACAAGTCTCTGCACCCTCGTCTCAATCTTGCTGTGAATCTAAAACTGCTCTATAAAAACAAAGCCTGTAGAAAACAGTGCGCACACACACAACAGCTGCACCCATCCAAACACCGTTTGAAAAATAAGAGTGCCCGTGTGCCCAGGCACTTGCCAACCCTGGGGCGTAACACACTCAACACACCCAAGCTGATCTACGGGAAATGGAATATTATCTCAACTTAACAAAATCGTCGATGACAGCGAACTCGGTCTTTTGTGCTTCGTGCTGTGTAACCTGAACCTACCTTCTGGCGGGGCCGCCAACTACACACCTGTAGGTGGATGAAGCCACAGCCAGACCCGGAGACCGCGTAGGTGACAGTGGAGCTGTCCTTGCATTGTCTCAGCTGGCCCCGTGCCACACTCCCTCGTCTAGGCCGCTGGGCCGTCACACGTGTGGGTGACGCTGGAGAGCGGCTTTATCAGCAGTCCCGGGCCAGGCGGACAGGTGCCCCTCGAGAACCTGGTCTAACCTGCAGACGCAGACACAGTGGCTCCACGGCTCTCAGGTCTGGCCTCAGACCCCAGTCCCTGCCTGAGGCCGAGCCTCAGGGAGTGGCCAAACTGTCTGCACAAAACAGAAAAAAGCCACAGGGTCCTGGGGATGCCATGCGCCTCCCCTGGAAACAGAACTCGATACAAGGAGGTTCCGACTTGGCCTGTCACTCTGCAAATGGGAATGGCCGTTTAACGGGCTCCTGACTTTCATTCCTACTGGGACCCTAAGGGCAATCAAAGTGACCTGGAAATGAGCACTCTGGACAAACATCACGTCCTCAAATTCGAAATTTCAGACATATGCTTCGGCCTCCGACAGCAAAAACAATCACTATGAAAACTGACGACTCCTGGGTGAACACACTGTGAGTACAAAGTTTATGCGTACGGTTTCCTTCATCTGAATCTGATTGATCTTGATCCTAAACAGCTTGTGCTTGAAGTCTCCGTTGAAGATGAACTTGTCTCCATCCTCGACCTCCTTTCCTTTGGGGCTTTTGATCAGCACGCGCGCTTTGCCGCAGGCCAGGGACTGCAGTGTCCTCCGCAACTCGCTGTCCTCTGGGGGGGGCAGAGGAACAAGGGGCTCATCACGCTGCCAAGCCTGCGTGGGCCTACAGCAAGCATGTGCTTTTTGTGTGTGTTTTTTTTTTTGAGTCGGAGTCTCACTCTGTCGCCCAGACTGGAGTGCAGCGGCCGCTCCCGGCCACCGCAGCCTCGACCTGCTGCGCTCTGGCGATCTTTCCGCCTCCGCCTTCCAAGTAGCCAGAGTTACAGGCATGCGCTACCATGCCTGGCTGATTTTTTTATTTATTGTAGAGATGAGGTCTC